AACTAGATAGACATAACATCACAAAACACTGGAAAACGTGTTAAATGCCACCAGATGCTATACTGTATCGTGGCTAAATCTGATGTAAATTTCACCTTAATTTTTTGAATGAAAAGTAGAGGCCATCCCACAGGGAAGGGCTTCAGTCTTAATCTGTACGACAGAATGAAATCGGAAATTGGGTCCACGCTGATAGAAGAAATAGAAGCAGACTACATTCCCTTACCCCAGAACACCAGGTAAGTCCTAAAGAAGGCTAACAAGATGCCCTGAGTCTCTCTCCCAAGAGCAACATCAGAAGAAACGGGCGGACTGCAGGGCCAGCAGCTTGCACAGGAGATGCAGAGTAGCTCTCGAAGATACAAAAGAGGTGCAGAGGTACAGCTTCCCAGGTGAAGCTGGCCTGTGCTCCATCAGCCAGGACACCAGAGATGCCTGTGCCTGAGTACATGGCCCCCCCAGACCAGGCCACCCTTCCCCCACCACAGCCTGTCCCTCTGTGGTCTGCGTGCCAGGACTGGTCTCTAATCCTGAAACATCTCTTGGGCACATACCTGACTGCAGAGCCTCCTGAGAGATACCTGAAGGATGGAGACAGAAGGATTAAGGGAGCTGCCCATGGAAGTGACTCTGGTACCGTAGGCCTACGCATTGTCCCCACAATGTCCCAAGGTGGCCCTAAGGTGAATGTTCCTGCCCTGAGCAGCTAAAGCTAGGATCTAGCCGGATAGGTGGGGCCTAGCCAGGTGGAAGTGGCCTGGCCAGCTGCCATCCTAATCCCAGGGTAGAGAGGGACCAGCCATGGGCCATAAACAACAGTTGGGAGGCACTGAGTACTGCCCCAGCCTTGCCCCTCACAACCTCTAGGTCCTCCTGAGGAGGGTCTTACCAGGGTCTGGGCCTATAGGTGTCCCCCGCACCCACACTCTAAGCCGCTATCCCCAGCAATGATGGCCAAGCTACCCAGCTGAGGGGCCCAGGCAGAGCAGAGGCACATCATGAAGAACTTGGGTTTTTGCTCCCCCTAAGCTCAGACTTCAAAGCACCCAGATCCCTCCACAGGGCTCCCAACGCTCTCAGAGCTCCAGCTGGTGGAACATAAGGTAGATCCAGGGGAAGGGCCTGAGAGGAAGCAGGCCCACTCCCACCCCAGAGCAGGATACAAATACAAGTATACAAATACAAATACGCCAAGCCAGCTCACTCACCAGGAACAGCCAGAAGCAGTAGGAGGCCACGGGGCCCCAGAGCCATGGTGTCTGCCCACAGCAGGGACAGGACCACCCCCCTCCCCCTGCTCGCTCAGGACCTGCCAGTATGGGGTGGGGTAGCAATGGCCTCACCCCTGCTGCAGGTCTGGAAGGAGGAGGATACAGGCTCCCCACCTGATCCTGTTGTACACCACGGGAGGGGCTATCAACTGCGTCTGTCTCACACAAGGCTACACCCAGCCTTGGCAGCAAGGGCTGAGTTCAAGGACATGGAAAATAACAGGAACAGAATGGGGCCCAGCTGTCCCCACCACAGCCCCGGCTTCTCTTCCCCCAGTGTGGAGAGGAGGCCTTGAAGCCTTGGTTCTCAGAGCATGCTTCTCCCATTCTCCAGATCCTCAGCCTCCAAGGCTCCTCAGAGAGGCCCAGCCCTCTAGGGTGGCACATCCTCCTCTGTGTCCCTGTTCTCATATCCAGCCTGGAGTCTCCTAACCCCACCCCAGATAAACAGAATCAGAGCCCTGTGCAGGGCTTCTGGTCCGTCTGGAGCCTACTGGTCAGCTGACCCAGGGGTGCGGCCAGAGTCAGGGACTTCTCCCAGCTCCACAGGCCAGGGTTGGAGGGTCTCCCTGATACTTTTTAGGTAAGGAATCCCCAATTAGATGTAGGGAAACTGGTCGTAGAGGGTGGCTCATTCCTTCTTCAGGATGTGTGACATCACAGGGCAAATGGTGCCTGTTTTGTGCCCACCTGTCCTGTGGCTCAAGAGTGCATGCTCAATGTTTGACCTAGTGTCAAACAAGTATTCTCTCAGCCCACCCCGTGTGACTGGCCTCCCTCAGGGAGCTGCATACCTCAGAGGGGACTGTTGAGAACATAGGACCTGCCTGCCACTTCATCCCAACATACGGCAGGCAGTGGAGGGAAGGGAGCCATGTGTTCTTATGAGCTATCCCAGCCAACCCAAGGAGCCCGGCGTCACTCAGGTTTTCACAGAATCAGATCCTGAGTCTTGACTCTGAACTATTCCCAGGTCCCCACAGGAGAGGACTTCAGGACCCTTACCTGTCCCACCTCCGTTTGCTTTTGGTATCTCCCCACCTGCATACAACCCTGTTACCTGGCTCCCCTCAACACTCATTCCAGGTCTGCTATCCAGACTAAAGCTCCATCCATGCAAGACAGGAAGGAGTGAGTTCTGTTTCCACCTGGCAGAAAAGCAAAGGGACAGGCAGCCTGGCCCTAGAGACACTCCACACCACACCCTCAGAGAGAGAGAGAGAGAGAGAGAGAGAGAGAGAGAGAGAGAGAGAGAGAGAGAGAGAGAGAGAGCTGCTAGAGTCTCCCGTAACTGAGCCAGAGCTGAGGGCTGCATCTGTCTAAAGTAGCCTGCTCAGCTGGGTACTGGCCTCTGGCTGAGACCGAGGGTCCGGGCCCTGCCCTGAAAGCTCTCAGGCCTGACCCCTGTAGCCCATGGCGGGAGATGAAGCCAGTAATCACTTTTATCTGTCAGCTGACTCTGAGCTGTGCGGAGCTGCTCTGCCAGGGTCAGATAAGGAGAAGGCCCCTCAGGAGGCTAGGCTGCTGCCCCCCACCCACCCTTCCTCCTTGCCCCTTGCCTGTCCCCAGATGCTTCTCACTAGGATCCTGGTCCATTTCCAACCCTGCATGGCCTCCACTGAAGGGTGGCTAAATGCACTTATCAGACAGAGTGTCATCACCTGCCAGGATCCACAGTGACCCTGAGAGAGTGAGACGAGTGGCATGGAGGAACAAGGGACCGAGTTCCAGCTTTACCTTTTATTTTTGTGGTGGATACATGTTATGTTTGACATTAAAAATTAAAACTAAGAAGCCGGAGAGATGGCTCAGCAGTTTTAAGAGTGCAACACCCCGCACCCCCACCACCAAAAGATGGCACCAAGCACCGGATGAGACAACTGACTTCATTTCCCCATCTCGGATGAGGGCTCTACCCAAGAAAGGGAACGGTCAGCCCTCAGCAGTAATCATAAAATCGTGGATGTCACCCTGCACCAGATGTTACCTCCAATACAGAATGCTGAATGAAGACGGGACAAAGGGGCAGCATTGCTGGCATATGATTATGAAACATAAGTGACATTTCAACAAATAGGGAATGGCTACCCCAGTGTGGCCCACTCACAAGCCAACAGCTCCCTTCAGCTGAATGTTCCAGAAACAGGCATTTGTGTGAGTAGGAATAGCCATGAACACCCAAGTCCCGAGACCCTCAACTGAGAGCCCCTCAAAGTAAAGTCCACCATAGCAGCCAGATGTGCCACTGCATGAATTTTTATTTATTTATTTATTTATTTATTTATTTATTTATTTATTTATTTATTCATTCATTTTTGGTTTTTCAAGACAGGGTTTCTCTGTGTAGTTTTGGTATCTCACTGTCCTGGAACTCACTCTGTAGACCAGGCTAGCCTCGAACTCACAGAGATCTGCCTGCCTCTGCCTTCGAGTGCTGGGATTAAAGGCGTGTGCCACACTGGGCGAAATTATTTTTGAGCTTTATTCTTTTAGGATGGGGTCTCACATATCCCAGGCTGGCCTCAAACTCAATTCGAAGACAAGGATGACCTTGAACTCTCGGTCTGCTTCCACGTCCCCAGTGCCAGGATAGCAGGGGTGTACTAGCACACCTGCTTATATTGGTGGTGGAGATCGAAGCCAAGGTTCCCTGCAAGCTAGGCAAATACCACCACCTGAGCTACATCCCCAGGCCCCACCACGTGGGATTCTAGGCAGCAGAGGCAGTAATGATGTGGACTCTATGCAGAGTGTAATGAGAAAGCAGGACGGCAAGGGGTTCCTATCAGGGCAGTCACGGAGCCATCAATGAGGCAAAGGAGATGTCTTTTGCCACGGCAGGGTGAAGATGGCCGAGCAATAATACCTGCAGGGGGGTGGAGGTGCACTGGCCATGCTTTGTTCCCTGGCCCGGCTGCAGTGAGTCTGGCTTCCCTCTCCATGGGTCTTTTAAGGTGTCCATGCTGTTCTCCATGTCTTAAGGACATGATGCCTCTCACATAAAAGAAATGAGCTGTGGGCAGGCAAGACGATGGTCAGTGGGTAAAGGTGCCGACTGCCAAAGCCTGAGGACCTGAGTTGGATGCCCAGAGTCCACGTAAAGGTAGAAGGAGAGGGGCCGGGCGGTGGTGGCGCACGCCTGTAATCCCAGCACTCGGGAGGCAGAGCCAGGCGGATCTCTGTGAGTTCGAGGCCAGCCTGGTCTATAGAGCGAGATCCAGGACAGACACCAAAGCTACACAGAGAAACCCTGTCTCGAAAAAACAAAACAAAAAAAGAGACAGGGTTTCTCTGTGTAACAGCCTTGGCTGTCCTGAAACTCCCTTTGTAGACCAGACTGACCTCAAACTCACAGAGATCCACCTGCCTCTGCCTCGTAAGTGCTGGGACTAAAGGCGTGCGCCACTAAGCCCAGCAAACAAGCGTATGTTTGACGTGTTTAAAATATGTTTTTAAAGTGAGCTTGTGTGGAAAGAGGTTAGTCCTGGGGACAGGGGCTGGTTAGAGGTCCACCCCACTACGGTATGCCAGTCCTGTGACTAGGACCCCACAGCAAGGGCATCACAGCCTGGCCAAGGTACTCCATTTGCCCCCAGTGACACCCACAATGAGGAGAGCAACCCCCACAGCTGTTTTCATGTACTTTAATGAGCCGCAGAAGAGGGTGAGTACCCTGTGCAGCCACCTGGGGTGGGAAGCAGAGGGGATGGGGGTGGCCAGGGGCTCAGAGGGACAGGGGAGGCGGAAGGACAGGAAGGTGAGGCTTCCACCTGGGCAGGAAGCACCCAGTTAAAGACAATAGGGCCTGGTTCTCCTCTGACCTGGAAGCAGCTCAGGAGTTCTCAGGGACATAGCGGTGGATCCATCCCAAGTAGTACGTCACCCGGGTGTAGATGCCAGGATGGTTGGGCTCTGCACAGCCCTCACCCCAGCTGACCACACCTGCTTGCAGCCAGGCACCCTTGACTTTGCAGACCAGCGGCCCCCCTGAGTCACCCTGGGGAAGACAGGGGCTAGCACTCCATATGGAGACTGGATGGGGTGGGGTACGGGGGAGGACACAGGACCCACCTGGCAGGAGTCCCTCCCAGTATTTCCAGCACACAGCATGTCATCACGGACAATGCGAATGTTGTCCCCTGTGTAGAGGCCAGTGTGGTACTTCCGATCACAGAGGCTGTTTTCCACAATGGGCACCTTCACTTGCTTCAGGGGATAGGGCGGCGGGAGGGCCTCTGGGGTGAAAGAGGTGCAGCCTTTGGGGGAAGCTCATCAGTGACTGGCCAGCCTTGGGAACCCCTGTCCACCCTCCAATATTGGGGCTGGGTGAGATCTAGTCCCTGCCCAACTAACTGGCAGTCATCCCCAACACATACCAGCATTATTAATGTTACCCCAGCCTGTCACCCAGCATGATGTCCCTGAGGGGAAGGTCTCCGCGGCAGGAGGCAGGGATATGGGGTGGACATGGGTGGAGACATTCACAGCGTCCTTGAGCTCCAGCAGAGCAATGTCTGCCCCAGTCTCAGCCGAGTAATAGTTGGGGTGCACAATGATCCGGTTCACAGACAGGAGTTGGTCCTCGTAGTATAGATGCTGCTCACGAAGCTGTACCCGGAAGAGCTCTGGGCTTTGGATGTGCCTGGAAGAATACAGCCCTGTTTGGGAGGCTCTGAACATTGAAGCCTCAGGAACACTGGGGACTGTGGGAGAAATCTTGACCCCCCCCATCCCCACTCCGCACCCGTGTCAGGCCCAGGGAAACTCACGGTCCCACACAGTGTGCCGCAGTGAGCACCCACTGTGGGTGGATGAGGGAGCCTCCGCAGAAATGTACCCAGTAGCTGAACTTAAGTCTCAGGCTCACTTGCCAGGGCCACTTACTCTCAGAAGCCTCACGTCCTCCCACAATGCCCACCCGCTGCTCAGCTGGGCCTGCAAAAGGACAAGGATCAACCTCAGCATCCTGGCTTGCTCCCCCCTGTACTGGAGCAACTACCCCTGGGATTCTCCACATTCTCCCATAGCCTGTGGCCTGTGAAGGTCAGACAGAGAAAGACAGGGAGAGGGCTCAAGGCACAACTCACGAGGGGCGGCACACGACAGGCTGGCCAGGAGGCACAGCAGCAGCAGCAGCAGCTTCAGCATCTGGAAGAGGTGAGGAACTCAGCTTGAGTCCAGCTGGGAGACAGGGCTGGACTGGGGTTAGCAGAGTATCCAGTCCAAATGGAGCCAGGGCCTGTGAAACGGAGAGTAGGTTCAGCCAGGGAGTCTGGGGTCCGGTGCTCCAGGTCACTAAGGTCATAAGCTTGGTTACTCTGCTTCAGGGTGATGTGCAGATGCCAGGGGCTCTGGGAAAGGACTTTACCTTGGCTGTCTCTGCTGCTCTCTACTCTGCCTCCTGTCCTCTCTCTGCCCTTTTATTTTCCCAGACCAGAGTTCATGAGAGGAGGGGCATACCACCCTCCAATCCAGACATGAAGGAAATGATTTAGATCAAAGGCCCCCATGTAACAATGCCCCCACCACCCAGATGCCCTTCTGAGTCCCACAAGTCACAAGATTGAGCGCAGAAGACCAGTGACCCACATCCCACATGGGGTCTTGGTGTTTCAGGCTATTGCAAGGCAGAGTTCTGAGATCCAGCTGGTCTCTGCTCAGGGTCCACCAGGGCTGCGGGTGGTATTGGAGATTCCAGGGGGTCCCACCATGGGCAGAGCACTGCACACTGAGGGTCCCTGTCAGCTGAGTGCCCTCCATCACTGAGATGACACTCCTTCCAACTGTTGAGATGAGGATCCTGTCCCCTACCCAGGGATTCAGAGGAGGTCTCAAAAAAGCTCCTAGCTCAGTGTCACCCTATAATGACATGTTGACACACTCTAACACATTTCCCAAGAGGGATACAGAACAGGAGACAGTCTGTGAGCCACCCCAAAAGGAGCAAGGGTAACAGTGCCATTCATCTTAAGTCCCCTGAGTCCTCAGGCTCAGGCTCAGCTTTCCTGGACAGTTTTAGGGAGAGGGTCACATGAGGCCCCTTGTCAGAATAGGAATCAGCCTTGTCAGGGAACGGGACCAAGTGTCCCCGCCCAGGGGGCCCTGCTCCCCCATCAGACCCAGCTCTACAGATAAATCCTGCAGTGTGTCCTGGGTCTTATCTGCCCAGCTCTCCTGATATGAAAGGCTGTTTATCGGGCATCTGATAAGCTGAGCATTTCATCAGTAAGTGGCAACACTTGCAGAGAAGGAAAACCTGAGAAGAGGCTACAGCCTCCTCCCAGAAGACATTCCACCCTAGTCACCCCTGTACCCCTCCAGGACCAGGATGACCACCATCCTGCCTGCCCATCCACCCCGCCACCTGGCTCCTCTGGCCTGCAGATCAGAGTTTTACAGCCCTCTCCTCACCTTGAGCTCTAGTCCATCACCAGCTTGGTCCCCACTGCCACCTCCTGGGTTTCTCTGAAGATTGCTCTGCCCCATTCTCTGCACACCCCAGAGCTATATTCAACTTGGACATATTCCTTGGACAGCACAGGGCAGGCTCCCTTTCTAACAAGATGTCCCCAGCGCTCTCAAACAGGTTGCTGACAAGACAGAACTGCAGGAATCCAGAGGTGTCAAGGGAGAGGGTGTCCTAGGGACACATAGGAGGCTCCAAACCTAGAGGACCAAGAGGGGTTAGGCCTGCAGGCACCTTTGAATCAGGGGCAGTGGATCTGGGTACTCCAAGGAATTATGATTGGTTCAAGCCCAAGAGATTAACTAGTTAGGAGCTCATGTAAGGAGGTGAGTGTGGTGGCCCACAGGTGTGATCCCAGGAGGATGGTTGAGATCTGGATTACATAGCAAGATCCTGGTTCAAAACAAAAATCAAAGAGCAAGGCTTAGCCAGGCAGTGGTGGCGCACACCTTTAATCCCAGCTCTTGGGAGGCAGAGGCAGGCGAATCTCTGTGAGTTTGAGGCCAACCTGATCTACAAATGAGTCCACGACAGTCAGGGCTACACAGAAAAACCCTGTCTCAAAAAAACAACCAAACAAACAAACAGAAAAAAAAAAAAAAAGCAGGGCTTTCTCGATTTCTCAGCCTCGCAGATTCTGAGAGAATGTGTTGCTAGTATCTCTCTACCCTGGAATCTGAAGAGAAAGTTCTGCCTCAAAAAGAGGATGATAGATAACATGATCTAGATCTGCATCAAGGATGTTCTAGAAGCAGAAAGCTCTTTAAATGTGAACTTTCCAAATGTAACTGAAAATAATAGATGTGTTAGAGTAACCACAGAACAAGACAGTGCATTATCCTTACAGCCAGTGTTAGCAAATAGTGTTGGCTTCCGAGTTTATTTTCCAATCGCTGGTGAAGTCGGATTGTAGGCTGATTTTGTGCGTTATTGCCTTGCTCGATTTGGGTATCCCTGCATTTGCAGAACCCTGAGACTTTCCTATGTTACAACCATCTGGAGTTATCTGCGAAGCCTAGTTTGTGCCTCATGCCACAGTTCTCAGTGTCTCCAGAAGAGGGCATACCAGACCAGGGAGGAGACTGGGGAGCACCCCACTGGGCCTCCTGCCCAGGTGCAAGGCTAACTGGGGCTCCCCTAAGCCACCTGACTCTTATGTGGTGACATTGAGTCCAGGCTATGTAGGGACTTCACGGGGTTGTAATAGAACCCCCTAGGGTGAGCAAGCATAAACGGGGTGAACCAGGATGGGCAGACCCTCTACATGAGACCATGGCAGGTAATTGCACTCTAAGCCTCAGTTTCCCCCGTGGAAAGAAAGGGCAGGACTACCCAGATTCTGGGCTGGAGGCAGAACCAGGGCTGCTGGAGCTCTAAACTTACCCAGTGCGTGAACTGTGACCTTTGCCCTCCTCTTTGCTTGGAGGAGGGCCAGGAGGGTGATGTAGACCAGCAGTCCAAGATGGGAAGGAAGTAAACCTGGGGACCCTTTAGGGGAGAATTGTGACCAAGAGCTTGCAGTTTCCATTGTAGCTATAGAAACATGGATATGAGGCGTGATGTTGTACACACGGAATGTGTTGTAGAGCACTGTCCTGCCAGCCTGACGCCAGCATCTTCATCAGAACAGCTGTAACTGATTACAAGAGCCTCCCAAGATCAGGCGTGGCTGTTGATTCCTCCATAGAAGAAGGGATAGAGAGGGTCATTGGTCTCTCTGGCCATTTATTTGTATGCAGTTGTACCCCAACTACACATAGGCCCTGGGTTGCGGAGGTACTAATGTATACAGAATATGGCAGGTTAACTGGGGGAGGGGGGATGTTGAGGCGAAAATGTTAGATGGCGTAACTGCTTTGGGGTCACATACCCTCCCATAAGTAATCCTTTATCTGCTTTCTGTACGCAAGTCCAAGAAACACACTGGTTCCCCAAGTCTGACTTTGGAATTATACTTTGGTTCGTCGTTAGTGCACTTACAAGGAGGGGATTGGAGTTTGCTTAAATCTCCCCAGAGAAAGAGCTCACTTGACGGTATGTGTGCCTGTGTGCACTGCATCAGCACATGTATGTGCCTGGGCATTGTGTGAGCACACACATGTGTATCTCCTAACTTTGTCCCCTGAGAAGCGACAAAAGTGCAGACACCTCAAGAGCTATATATAGCACCCATCCCCAGGGTCAGTCCAGGGTACAGGGTGAGTTCCATGCAGGGACTGGGTTGTCGGATCATGTCTCAGATGAACAAGATGCAGTGTTGGCCTCCACACCAGCCCCTGACGGCCCTCAGCCTCTACTCATAAGGCTGTGTTCCATGTGCGACAGTACTCCATTGAAGAAGAGTCAGCCCCGCCACTGTGCGCACGCCTGAGCTACACACTTGACAAGCAGGGCCCTCCCTCTTTTGGAGAGTCTCTCATTAGGAGGATGTGCCTCAGGGAGCATGGAATCTGCCTCAGTCAGAAGAGTGCAGCTGTCCCCAGCCCTGGCTACCCCTACCTGGGAACCAGAAATCTGATGTCATGGGGATCAAGGACTCATAGAAATTGCTTATTCTGTGGGTACCCATGGGAGGAGGAGGTCCTTACCTGTCTCAACACAGTTTTCCTCCAGCACTGGGGACCCTGTCTCCTCATCTTCATCCAACCAGACGGATGGCAGCAGAAGAGTAGCCCTGAAGAGATGCATCTGCCCTCCACCATGGACAAGGCTGACAAATGTCTCTAACAGAGTCCCATTGATAACAGGTGCCCCTGATGGGATGATGCCAGGGTATTTCTCCTCTGTGGGGTTGCCCCCAGATCTACAACTGCCATCTAATCACAAAGAGCCTTTGGACAAATGCAGTACATTCACAATAGCATCTGGCTCTGGCCAGCAGTCTTGGAGAGTATAAAGACAAGGGAATACCAAAGAAGAAAATACGAGCATTTGGAAACCCCATTACAGCTCTGCTGTTGGTCAGGTATTTAAAGCAGATGTAGGGAGACAAAAGTAATCCAGTGACTTATGGCAACCTGGACTGGGCATTAGAAGACAAGATGTAGCTTGTCATCATGGATTCTGGTGTAATGTCATCTCATGGTGGTCTGAGAGATGGTCACATTAGACATGCCTTCCAGACCCCAAACTTGCTGTCCTGACGTATGTGTGGGAATGTGCTACTCCACTCCCTAGCCTCACTTCCCGCCCTGCTTTGTAATTTCATCATGGAGTGCAGAGTTCACCTTCTGGCCTCGGGGGCTCTGTCTGAGCTCTTGGTGCTCTGTGTGGACTTGTGGAGCTTTGTTTTTCTCTCAACATGGTTTGTCAGCACCCCACGTGTTTCGATGTGTTGTGTTTTCATTTCGCATATCTCTCTGTCTTTCTAGCTTTACCTGTGATTTCTTCTTTGGCCCACTGATTAAGACTGTAATGGCTGGGCAGTGGTAGCGCACATCTTTGATCTCAGCACTCGGGAGGCAGAGGCAGGCGGATCTCTGTGAGTTCGAGGCCAGCCTGGTCTGCAGAGAAAGATCCAGGAAAGGTGCAAAGCTACACAGAGAAACCCTGTCTCGAAAAAAAAAAAAAAAAATAGAGGTTCTTTTTCAGGCTACACAGTGACATAGGTTTCTCCTCTCTCAAGGACTATCACTGACCCCAACAAAGTTAGAGTACAGTATCTCAAGTAGTACTTCTTTTACCATGACCACCTGCTCTGTGTGGGCCAGTTCATCACACACCCTGAGCTCCATACTGTTCAGGAT